AACTTAGAAAAATAGTCCTGGCTAGCCGCGGCCGCGTCGCGTGCGCTCTCTCGCGCGATCGATCCTTCAAAAGCATTCGATATTGTTTACGTGCCTGTGTACATCCGACATATACATGCTACATATACATTTATCTATATATATATATATATGTATTTATATTTATATCTATATATTTTTTTTCATCTTTCTAACCTCTCGCGCTCGCTTCAGATCTACCTATGGGAAATATTCCAAGAGATTCTCTAATTGACTAAATCCGTCGATCGAAATTGCAAGCTCGAGATCGATCGCTCATTTCCGGGATACAGAGAGGAAAATCCTTCTCCAAAATGGCTACCTATGAATTCTAACGATCCCTCGATTTATTTCGCATAGACGATCGGCGATCTTTTCTTCTTTTTTCTTTGAATAAACGCGCATCTCCACTGAAAGATCAATGTATCTTTCACTATTTTATATATGTCGTACCACGTGATTCGTAAAATTAATTCAATGTACAATAAATTAAACGCCATGTTAGAAACATGTTAGAAACGTAATTTTTATATTTTATATTTTATCTTTTATCGACATTCAATTCTAAATGTCCATTTTTTACTATTGAAATAAATTTGTCCAATTTTATGCATTTGAATAAGAACATTATCAATCTTGTCGATTGTCAATTATCGCCGGGCAAAGATCGGTTTCAATCTGAAACGATCAAGCACCGATGATCATGATCGAACGGAATTATTGACGTACAACTGGCATTGCAGCGCGCGTTCTATTATCTAATGAAAACGGTGAAGGCGATGAGTTAGTTAGTCCCGCGATTAAGGAGCGATTATCTTTTTGTGCTTGCCTCCCGATCGCGGATGACTCGACGCGGTCGCGATGCAATAAAATCTATGAAAACAATTAACGGAACAACGGTAGTATTACCCCTCCCCCCCTTTGAAGTTGTCACGCTCTACTATATCTACTGTTGATTCTTTTTCTTTTTTTTCTTTTATATATATAATCGGCTAACGAATCGCTTGTCTGCGTACCGTCACTCGCCCGTTTTTTTTTATAACTGACGCGAATCTGACACCGACTTAAGCGTCGCTTAACAGCGAAACTGGAGTCTTATGTATATCGCCTCGCGCACGATATATATTCGACAAAGCTCACTCAGATTAACAATTGAGAAAAAAATCAATCGTTCAAGCATTCGAGAAATCACGATAATATTCCCGATTGATGATTTTCTTCTCGTAACGAAACGCGGCGTTTGCTTCCGAATCAAACTTAACGAACCTAACAACAACAACGACGGAAAAAGCAGAACGTTCGATACCTTAAATTTTTGTATCTAAAACAAAATCTACACTTCGGAGCATCACGCAACCATCGAATTCACAAGACATTTAACGAATCTCGTCTCGATCTCTGTCTTTTTCATTACGTCAGAACATTCGATTACAAGATAATCATCAACTTATTATAGAAGAGCCTCTAATAGGCATAATTTTCATATTGCAAGAAATTCTCTTCGTTTCTTTGGTGTTGAAGTCAACTCGTATCCGTACACCGCACTCTTGCATTTTCTTGAGATGCGTTCAGCCTTAACAATCTCTCCTAATAAAATACCGCTTATCAACCGTCTATTTCCTACAGAAATAAACCGTCCATTTCTTATAGAAAAACGCATAATTTGAATTCGCGATCTTTTTCCAAATTCAGGCAAGCAAGTTTATTTACTACCATCAACTTTAAAAAAATAAATTAATGACGGTTATTATTTTTACAAAAACGCATATACAGATTTTAAGGACGCACGCAATTTATCCGATTGATTTTTAGGAAGAATCGAACTTTATAAGATTCACGTTAAAGCTGAACGCACGATTTACAATTGACACATTTGTATACTCATTTACACATATTTCCCGACACATATTTCCACACGCATACATGTAGACGATCCTTATCTTCATATATAGTGAATTTTCAATTTCTCTCTTTCTCTCTCTCTCTCTCTTCTCTCTCTCTCTCTCTCTCTCTCTCTCTCTCTCTCTCTCTCTCTCTCTCTCTCTCTCTCTCTCTCTCTCTCTCTCTCTCTCTCTCTCTCTCTCCTTCGCTACCCTTTTCTCTCATGATTATCGGTTACGCACCAAGCGGCCGACGTGTCGGGCATAAGACGCGGCGACGCACCCTTGCAATTATAACGCTAATATACCGACACGTTACTATTTTTTTTCGTTTACTTTTAAATATACACTACTTGCTTGATATAGCAATATCAACGATAGTCGTCCATTGTTTTTTTTTTACTTTATTACGATTCCTCGTTCGCCCCACTCGCACTCGCTTTTCAGCTCGTTTTTACGCGCGCATATTCCTCGCTTTTTCTCTCTCCTTCTTTCCCTCTCCCTTTCTCGCCCCTTTTTTGTATACTTTTGTATACTTTTAATGCTGCAGTTTCGATTAGAAGTAAAATTCCAAGTAAAATTATTAAATGCTGGCAATAATATTTATCTAAATCGCGACAATAGTTCTCGATTACTGCGTAAATACTGATAAATATACTTATCCGTTGTTTATGTCGCACCATTATCTTCCGGTATCGTCATCTCGTCGAATATCTTTTTTTTTTATTATTTTCACTTTCTCTCTCCCTGTCTCCGTTTTCATTCTTCGTCGTATTTTAATACCTTTCTTGTATTCTGTTTTGTATATTTATATGTATATCTTTCGCACTGTATATCTTTCCTTACTGTCACTTGTTTCATCGGTTTCCATCCATTTCGCTCTCTTTTCATTCTCCGCGCTTTTGTCTTTTCTCTCTCCATCATAAATATATATTTATAGCTTAGAATTTTCAATTCATATACACACAGAGCGGTTTAATCGCTCGTGCGGTTTCCTCTTTGTTTTTTTCTTATATGTTTCCTTCTCCCTTTTTTCTCTCGCGCGATCACTCTTACTCTTGATCTGACCCGCATTCTCTCATTAGATGCATT